GCCATCAAAAGAATCAACTTTGTGATTTACTGCTACAATTAATAATTGTCTCAGTAAATGCCCAAACCCTACAGAACTGGTGCCTTCAGAGAGCCACTACATTACATTTTGGCTATGATTACATATTTGGCATCCCTGAGCCGGTTTTCTTACAACACTGACTTGTCTTCTATTGAGATCATCTAAATTGTGTTGGGAAAGTGAATTGTTAATAAGAACTAAATTAAATTGCTTTTGAATGTCTGATAGAATATCTGCAGTTTCCTGTTCCATTCCTGCACAAGAAGAGCAGGGAGATACTTTCACGACCACACATAATCAAATATCAGACCTTTCCTGCAAATGCTGACGCATTCTCATGACCAAAGACCATCAGGCACCAGTTCTTCCCAATTCCCGCAAACGCAGACGCAGACGCATTAACTAATCATCCAATCGCACCTCTCACTCTTCACTGCACCTTCTGCATCCCAGTATATTTAAGGGCTCACTACCATCACCACAATGCTCAGTATTGGTTTCACCAGTGGAGCTCCCAACCCTCACTTTTTTGAGAAACTCCTGACTGTCGTAAAACTTCTGATCTTCTGGCTTCCTCACCTGTGACTGAACCTAGACTATGATTTTTTATTCTTGATTTGGCTTAGTACACCTGGCTTTTTCTCTGTTGCTCTCTTTCCCTTTTTCTCGCTCAACGTGTGAGATCTAGCTTTTTTGCACAGGGTCCCTCAAATCTCATTTTTGGCTACAGTGCCGTTACAGATACATTAGGAGTGCTGACAATTCTGCATGACCTGGAGTTTGCTGGTTTGTGTCAAGCCTGTTCCACTAGGCCGATGTGATTGTGAGCTCCTAGGAAGTTGCATACTCCTGGCTGAATGGGGTAAGGGGGCTTGAGATCATCAGGCACCGGTGCTCATTTCATGCCATGGAGCTCCTGGTTTCTTCAGTGGTATATGATTTTCTGAAGATATGACTCAAGCGCTCCTTAATAATACTGAATGTCCTGCTTTCTATAACCAATAAATGCGTGATTTCCAAATAATTAATTGCACAGCATCTGAATATAAACAGGCAATCTGGTAAAAGTAAAAATACTAACATTTTGGGATAACATCTTTAATACTATCTTAAACACCCTGCCACAAACTGGAGTGAATCTGAAACAGATTAAAACATCTTTGAAGCAACGTCTTCCATCCTTCCATTTACTGGTTGTACTTTTTCAGCCACATGTGGAACAGCTTTGCTTCTTTACATACCTGTATAAAAGGAGGGACATCTGATCAAGAGCAGAACGATCAACACATTTCTCCCCATTGAGTCCAGAGCTCTGCTCACACATTTAATGTTTTTTTTTTCAGAACCAAAGGCCCCTGCCAAGAAACATTAAAATGAGTTATTATAAAAGAAGCATTATAAATAGGTTTTGGCCACATTTACTTTGTACAACTATATGTTCTTGGGCTCTCACAGTACATTGCATGTTACAAGTTATGATTTCTGGGTAATATGCGGTAGAATCTCTGTTAAATATTTAAAAACTCTTTGGTAAATATTTAAAATATATACAGTATATAAAATACTATGTGAAATTGGGTCTTGACAACCTTGCTCTTTCCAGTCTTGCAATCTTTGCTTTCTTGTGCCATTCACTCACAGAAATGAGTTTCTCATGTTCTCCAATTACTATTCATTACAGCAACATTAAATTAAATTGAACACAGAGGTAGCCATGTTCATAAATGTTCAAATTCAAGTACAAAATACTGTTTATCTACCCATTAAATGTGCACAAGATTCTTCTGATTCACAATCTCCCCCACTTGTCATCTTTGGGCACCACAGGCAATGAAACGTCAGTCATGAAGATGTTGCCTCAATTTCCGTACACCAAGTAAGGGGTGAGAAAATGTATTCTGTGTACCATATGACATGACCACCTTGTTGGAATGACAGATGATGAAGGCTTGTGGCTACTGCTTGTTAAGTAGAAGAATCACATTTATAAAAAGGAAACATCTGATTGTTGAGTCTCTCTGGCCTTGGGGTTAAATGAAGAAGGGGTGGTGAACGTTTTGCTTACTGTATTGACGCAGATGGACACGACCCAAGAAATAATGTTTGAGTAAAAGGAAAGGCATATTGTTTTTTCAGTTTATTTTCAACTTCACTATTTGTTTTCAAAATTGTATTATTTTCTAGAAATTGTAAATTATTGATTAATATAAAACAGTAAATGATATTTCAAAGTGAACCTGGTATGTCTTCAACTCTTCATCAACTTGGCCTGAGACAGTTAGAATGATATTCTGACAGTGGCAACACACAGACATTCTATTTGTCCATTTTGATGTACAGTATGCTTTGGTTCACTGAGTTTCTTGACAAAGGGAGCTGGATCTTTGACCAAAACATCATAGTAAGTGCTAGAATTCATCAGTCTTAACAAATGCTCTGGGATCATCTGTGCCATAGATTAATAATATTCCCAAAACATCTGCTGCCATAGTGAACGAGTGCATTATCAGCATGTGCTTCACCTTTTACAGTATGTCAAACAAAGGGATGATGACCATGACCATTTGTCATCTAACATGACTCTGGTATTTTTAGGATGTCTCTTTTTGTGTTTCTCCCACAGAAGAGCCTTTTTTTCTTACAACTTGGCCAAAAATGACAAAATGGAAGATTTCGACACTTTGCATCCTGAAGATGCCAGGATATTTTTGAGAACAACTGTTGTCTTTGGACTTAGGGTTGCCACCCAAACCACTTGTCTCACTGCCTGCGATGACAAGATACACTTGTGTCCTCTTTTAGGAAGTGATGACATTATGCTAGTATTTTTAAATTTCTTAAAGTAGTTTACACTATGTGTAAGATTCAGCATCTTAAAGATACTTTTTGAACAAACTTGTGAAGGTCACTGCCCATTTGCATGCCATATGTCTGACCTTAACCAAGCATAAGGTGGTGAGAGTGCTAGCAGTACCTTCTTTAGAGTATAAAGCTAAGACTCTAAAGCTAAGTAGGAGAACACATGTTCTAATACTGCATTTACTTTAAGGCATAATAAAAAGTTATTGCAATTTGACAGGTGTGACTGTGATATTAAACCTTTTCTGACACAGAACTGGCATTTCCAAAATTATGGAAGGAAAGGACCATGTGAAAAATAAGAGAAAGGCCAATTCACACAAAGACAGCAACATAGGATGTGTTGATATCCTGTTGTGTTGACATATAAATTTCACTGGCAATCCCTCCATCTTGGAAACCATCATGATCATGTCGTTTGTGCAAGAGAAGAAGCCACTTACACTCTGGTACAGTCACAGTAATTTCCCTAAGACTAATTTAAAAGAGAATGCATGTCACACAAGAGGAGATTAATCATTTATGTTCAATGTTAAATGGCCTTGTACCTTGAAACTCTTTAGTTAAAAAATCAATTAACATCTAAGAAGCAAAAATCAGTTTATTTGTGTGTTTCACAATAAGTGTATTTTGCTCTACAGCATTTAATTAAATGCTTGTTCATTGGCATAAGATAGAAATCATATTGTCAATGGCACTGTGAAATTAATGTAGCATGAAGAAAGGTATTACAAAGGGTTTTTCCCATATTGCTACAGGAATGGTTTATCTGTTATCTAGTAAATGTTTAAATTCTTATAATCTTTTGAGAAATGTATATCTACATAATAGATAAATTTAGAAAAATAAAAAAACACTGGCTTTAAGAAATGATTTATTTGGTACATCTTTTCAGCCTTGCACTAACTCGTGTGTTTTTCAAATATGTTTATATTAATAACCAAGGGGATTAAAAATGAATGTGAATAATATTTGAGAATTCACCAACACATTGCTTGTTTTCCAAAATAATTGTATACATTTTTTATGTGATTTTTGAAAATTACTTAAATGAAAAGTGTTGCAAACCCTAATTCTGCAGGCAGTTAACTCAGCTTTGTGCAGATGGCTGGCATTCAGTTTCACACACTGTTTCACAGTCAACATTTAAGTAGGTGAGCAACACCCTTCTCATCCCAAATACTGTCAATTTTATGACAACTGGACAAGAATTGAATGGTTCTGGATTTGTGTGGATGGGTAGTGCAGAGGAGTGAGGTGTATAGTAGATGTGAAGTGGGGTGTACTGTAGATGGGTAGTGGGGTGCTCACCTGGGTAACATGTACCCACACGACATTAGGGCTACAATACAATGCATTGAAGAGCTTGGTTTTGGCAATGAAACAGAGACCTGTAGTTCTGCCTTAAACCACATGAGGGTGCCATCAAGCCCTGTACTTGTTCTCCATGAAGTTACACTATTAATCCCTCACATGAAGATCCTAATCACAAGTGTCCTTCGTTCCTAAGAGTATAATAGAGTTGCTTAGTGGGAGAACTGCATTCTGTACCTCAACTTGCTTAGAGGAGGACAAAAGCTTCCTACAACAGAGCTCATATTCTATTCATTCATGATCCAGACTGCATCTGTGTCAGAAATGCAAGAGAAGTCAGTGACCATGTTGGATTTTAGGCTGGTTCTCATTTATTGTGAAGTTTGCCTATCCAAGCAAACTTGAAGAAACACTGGTCATACATTAGGGTTCTTCCAGGTTAGTAGTGGGGAGTCAAAAGATAGAAAACCAAACTGGCCCCTATCACCTCTGTCAATCCAGAGAAAGAGTGGTGTTTTAGGCAGATTGTGGTTGTTCTCCCAGAAGGTGGTGGTCATAGTTAGATAACAGCCCAAAGTAGCATCAGTGAGCTGGGAGATGGCTTGAGAAGATAAACAGTAGGAAGACAGAATACTGTACTGACCCAGATGATGGACAGATGATGCAAAATGCATTTCCTCTGTGAGGCCTGGCCATAAATCTAACTACATAAAATCCACTACAAAGAAAGAAGCTGAAGAAAGATCATTGACCAAAGGTATAGGATTATACAAAGATGGCAATAAATACAACTGAGAGTTATACTAAGGAGATACTCAGGGCTGCTGGGCAAGGACATTTTGCCATAGAGAAAAGTTTCATATCAGGTCACCTACAGAAAAAAATAGTATTTTATTAGGAAGGTTATTGAAAGTCATATGACAGAAGTAGAGTTTAACATGTCCAAACTGTAGAGTGATTGACACCTTCTTATAGCTATTACTCCACCCATCTTACAGAACAGACCTTCAATTGTTGGTTTTTATCTTTGTCTGATAAAATAACAGTTGGCGGTAAAGCCTTTAGTTACAGGGCCCCTAGCTTATGGAACAGTCTCCCACCCCATATTCGGGAAATCAATCTCAGTATTCAAATCCAGACTATTACTTCAGCCTAGCCTACTTGCACCTTACATTACAGACTGCTGCAACCATGGCTACTGGTGCTGCAGTACATGCCATTCTGTGTCTCTGTGTTGGCCCACCAGGTAGATACATCTGTTCTGACCAAACTATCCTATTCTCCTCCCAACATGTCCGGATGGTGTGCGGGCTGGGTACCATCTGAGTTGGATGCCGCATCACAGCCATGGATTCAAGAAGGACATCGCGGATATAGCTATTGTTTAGGAGGAGTACTAAATGTCATGGAGTACTAAAACACAGAAGACATGATGGATGGAATAATACCCTCATTCATTTCCTTTTTTTTAATTATATAATGTAAGCATGCCCAAAGGGGTTGGGCAACCAGTTGACCTTGGACCTCCTTGGACCTTTTCTGCTTACTAAGGAGTTTTTGGTTCCTCTCCTCCATTGTCTTCTGGTCTTCTGTTCTGTACTGACAAAATGTATGGTCACTTGCATTGTTAAGTGCCTTGGGGCCACCTTGTTGTAAAAGGTGCTATACAAAAATAAATTAAATTGAATTGAATTGTCTGGCCAAAAACATAAAGCTTTCCTAGACTGCAAATTCAGTGAAGAGAGGATTATCAAGTTGTCATTAGAGGCTCAGGCAGCAACTAACATCATTTTATAATGCACTGAATTGGTGTCAGAAGTGTGTGCATACACAAGGCCACTATAAGGTAAGGTCCACTATTCTTCATTTTGTAATAATGGAATGTTTTCATATTCCTGGTGCAAGGCAGGACTACTCGGTGGATAGGATGGCAGTCCAATGTAAAGCACACTCAAAAGGGACAATATAGAAACATCAATTAACTTGACAGGAAATCAATTGAGAACATGCAGACTCCACACAGAGGCTCATTCTGTCAAACCCGGGACCAAAGAGTCCTCAAAGTGTTTTTAGGGCAACATCACTATCTGCCACATCACTATTCTGCCTGATAGTATAGAATACTATAACATAGCGTAGAAGAACATACAGTATTACAATATAGCAATACTGTTGTTGCCCA